GTGAGATGGAGGGATGGCTCAGTGGTTAAAAGTATGTACTGTTCTTGTAGAAGATGGCCCCCCCACACACGGCAGCTCACAACCTCTGGAATACCAGCTTGAGAGGATCCCACACTCTATTCTAACCTCTGTGGGCACCTGCACTCATATTCACCCATATATAGACACATATAATAATAAAATAAAGTTTTTTAAAACTCGATTTTCACTGTGATACAGAAGTTACAATAACAAACATGTATATATGTATTCCAAACTTAGAAAAGAAATACAGAAAGCTCATATGTCTGTTATATAGACACAGTAAGTATGAGCTAGTCTTCTGTGCACTGCACGGTTAAAAATGTTATATATGTGGATATTATAGCAAAAGGTCTCAAAATTTTGTTTCACTATTTTTAATTCATAAAAAAAGTCATGAAAACTTAAAATTAGCAACATTCTGTGCTTCCCATGTTAAAGAATTTTTCTTGTTATTTCATCACAGATGTTAGAAAGTTGCCAATGAGATACTACCTCGTTTTTGTTTATTAATGTTGTTGGGATGTTACCAAGGGCTTGCACAGGCTAAACAAGTGCTCTACCATTGAACACAGCCCCAGCCCCATATTATTCTCTTAGAAATATATCTGGCATTGCTAAAGATGGACTCACTTAGAAAAATTACATTAGTAGGCTCTCCTCTGCTGTTCCCAGAGAGAACTCTCTTCTTGAGGACTACAAATCTCCCACACTTCTGTAAGCATTCAGACTGCTCCTCCCTGCTCCCTCCACAATACCCACTTGAGCTCTCTTCCCTGATGTCTGTCTTCCTGAATCATGGTTCCTTGAATGACCCAGGACCTTTCACACAACTGTTTCTTTGCATCAGGCTTTTCCTATACAGTATATAGGGTCTCCTGTTTCTTTAAAAGTCCCTTCACTGGTCACCCTGCTCACTGCATGAGTCTTCTTAGTCTGGAGGCCAAAGGCATTAAGATGGCAGTTCTTCCCTCCTGCCTTCATTTCCAGTGATATTTTAGTAATCAAAGCCCTGCCATGAGGAGTACTTGCTGTGAGAAGCAGGGAAATGAGTGTTATAAATAGAAAAGATCCTGGGCACATTCATCTAGAGGAAGCCCCAATTCATCAACACACATACCAACTTTTTCCTTATTAAACATAGTCATGTAAAAGCCATGGTTCTGAAGTAGGCCTCCTGAACATCGGTGCCAGTTGGGGGTCTTGGGAAGTCTATGAGGCCACTGGCAGTGAATCAGTATTTACCCCTATTATACAAATGGAGTTTGGGAGCCCACTCCACATAGAGGAATACTCTCTCAGTCTAGACACATGGGGGAGGGCCTAGGCCCTACTCCAAATAATATGACAGACTTTGATGATCTCCCATAGGAAGGCCTCACTCTCTCTAAAGAGTGGATGGGAGTGGGATGGGGAGATGGTGAAGGGAGTGGGAGGATGGGAGGGAAAGGGAACTGGGATTGGTATATAAAATAAGATTGTTTTAATTTTTTAAAATATCTTTTTAAAAAGTCATGTCTCTCTATCACAACTGGCATAAGATCAATACTATTGAAGGGACTTAGCTATTCAAGTATCAGATAATCCCTAAGGTTAAAAAGAAAAAAATAACCCTTTAGCAGAGTATTGACCTATACAGCAAATGCAAACTCTGTGGACAGAATTTTCCTTAGTTTATATGTGAGCAAACAAATTGAACTTTTACTTAACACTGCTCTATATAAAATGGTTTACTCTAATTGCCATTTGGTTGCATGTGCTATGAATAAGTCATTTAAGTAGAAAAAGAAAATCACTTCCTCTCTACTGAGTCATACCCTGGATTCTGGAAATGAAGAACCAAGCATCTGATTCTTTCTTCACTTTGTACTCCTCGATCTTACCTATACTGGAAAAAGTTAAGATGTGTTTCTTAGAATGTACTCCCTTTCCTAACTCTGGAGCCCCATATGCATAATTTAATCCAGATGTTCATATCACTGTGGAGCTTGATGTAAGAAGAGCCAGATACTTGATGCTGAAAACTGCCTCATCTCTCTCAAACGTTAAAAGTGCATTGAGTCTTTTGCTTTATTTTGTTTTGATGTTTGTTTTGCAGTGCCAAGGAAAGAAATAAGAACCTTTGTACATGCAAACAAGTGGTCCACCACTGGCATACTTCCCTAGCCCTACATATAGTTTTCCTGTTTGTAGAACATTCTGAGAACATGGAAGCATGTCACTATTGACTAATATGCATTTAAAGAAACTGTTCCTTTGGAGAAAATAAAAAATATTCCTATTTGTTACAATGTAGTCTTACTCATTTATATTACAAAACATGAAATTTTTAAATCCAAAAAAAATCTAGAAAAATTTTAAGTCTTATTTATAGCTACTAATAAATGAAATCATTTTAATTGTACCTTGTTGGTTTTTCTTCTAAGTGCCTGGTGATGCTACTGAAATCTAAACCTCAGAAGAGTCTTTATGGATATATTTCCATAATCACAGGTATATTTCCAAGGTCAGATCGATGGTCCATATATAGCAAAAAAAAAAAAAAATATCAAAACCGTGTAACAGAACAAATGCAGAATTCAGAAATGTAAGTTCTTTATAATAAAATCTGCCATGAGGCAATAAAAATGACCTAATGAGAGTGAACAAAAAGAAGCAAAGAAGCGAAGAAAGACATGAAACACACTGAAAACCTGGACAATTTGGAAGTCGAAGCCAATGCATGTGCATTCAGCTTTTACTTTCAATTCTTTGAGGGAAGCGATTACTGTAACATGTAGACTGTAACTTTAATCACATAATATAGAAATTGGGTAGCAGATGAGAGCAATTTGGTAACATTCAAGCAGGACTTTAAGGTGGGTGTTCTAGTGTTTCCTAACCACTAAGCCCTGGAAACAGTAATAAGTGTTTTTGAAATAGAGAGATGATTGGACAAGCTAGAAAACTGTCAGCTTCAACAAAACTGACTTTTGTTTTGTGTTTTGCTATAGGACTTCAAAGCTTCTAGTGGGTTTGTGTGCAATGTCAATCTCCTAGTGGGGGGTAGGTGAAATGGCTTGCAAATTCATCTTACTACAGAGCCCTATTAATATCTACCAGATTGCTTCATCCCAAGTAGTTTTGGAAACACTCTGATGTCACATGCAGGTGGCTATTTAGCTGTTCCTAGTTTGGCATGGCACAAAACTAAATACAACCACATGTCTATTACTTTATATATTAAATAGATGTGTCCCATTTACAGTGAACAAAGGAGAGCAAGAGGAGGGAAGTAGTCTGGGGGTTCTCTGCCTACATTTCTTACACACCTGCTCCTGTTGTCTGAAATCTGGAAGTTGGGGCTGAATGCTAAGCTCAGTGCTTACACTTTAAATCTGGTAGACAAGGAAACAGACTTATTCATTAATGTTGACTTGAGAATTCCCAGTCTCCCTGTCAAATCTTCCATCATTAAGTCCCAAGCAGGCAAGATGCTCCAGGCAACCAGCTCTGATAAGGGCAGCTGTTAGTAGCAGTGCTTTCCAGATAAGCATCCCAGAATGCCTGCTAATGTTATTGTGACCAAGTCCAGGTTTGCTGTTGATGCAATGTGGGAGTCTCAATTTCTCCATGCAGACAGTCTCAGTTACAAGGGAACACAACAGATCTACTCTCTGTCTTGATATAGATATACTTAGACTCCCAGGATTGAGAGAAAGAGGGTATAAAGACTTCAGTTTGGGAGGGGCTCTACTATTTTCTAGATATGGCCTCTTAGTTAACTTGCTTAAACCTGGCATGCTCCAATTTTCTTGTCAATAATAATATTAGTATCTATTTCATAAGGGCTTTGGGGGATAAAATTATGCAATTAAAGTGATTAGTGTAATGTCTGGTCTGACACAGATGATCAATTAACACAACTAATAATTTTGAAAGAGCACTAAGTATAACAAAGGAAACACATGGGGTAGAATTAAGGTTTAATGTTAGACAAACAGCATGTAAGGTTTTATGTTAGACAAACAGCATGGACTCAATTTCCACTTATTAATAGATCAATTTCTCTTAAAGCTTTAAGAATTTTCACTTGTTTATATGCAGATCAGGAAGAACTGGGCTCTCTATAACCCTTCAGACAGAAGCAAGAAGCCAATACCTCATGGGTTTTGTATGTCCTGATTGAGTGGCTGCTAAAGACCATGTAACTGTCTGAAGAAAGGACAAGCAAATGTTGAAAATGGTTTCCAAAACTGATCCTGAGACTATCCACGTGGAGAGGTGTGTTATGATCCACAAAGTAGCAAAATAAAACCTGTGATTCTCTGTAGAGCAAATTCCCGAAATCTTCCACCAACAGCTAGAAGGCCTCTTTAAAGACAGGTGTTTCCTTGCTAGTAATAATGATTGATCTGCAGCACTATGTACACTACTCCATGGATTTACTGCCCATTCTCATTTTCAAATCTTGATAGGGAAAGCCATGGTAGCACAGGGAAAGGTGGCACACTTAATTTACAAGTAAAACACACTCTCCCTCTCCAGATGTTTCAGGTTATTAATCTGAGTGGAAAAGGCATCCTTAAAAAAGTACTATAGGCCCAAACCCATGCTAAGGGACACTTTTAGTGTGTGTGTGTGGAATTAACACAGCTCCTAAACTGCTGCTGAACATATGGCTACCCAGGTTCTATGTACTATACAGAAAAAACATGTACCCTGACCCCAATTACAGTCACATTCCTTCTACTTCTCCTTGGGTAGAGAAACCACACAAAACTGTCAAGAATGAGAACTGAAAGTGTGGCTGGTAGCATACTAAAGAAACTCCATTTCCATATGAGGCTGTGAAGCTACTGGAATTTGGAGAAATCAGCTGCTCTCTATTTCCTTACTCCAGAAATTATCTGGTGGCTCCAATGTGGTGTGGTGATTAATCCTTGCAAAGCAACATAGTGGTAAGACAACAGTTTGCAGAAATCAAATATGTCACCTACCTGTGTTAGGCAAGGTCTTGGAGGAAGTGCCGGTGGTGGAGGTAACAATCCTGAGTTAGCAGCTGAAAAAAAAAGAAAAGAAAAATATACTACTAAGAACCACCTTCCCCTAAAGAGAGGGGAAAAACTGTATTCAACTAATAACATGTTTAAGTTTGTTAAATCCCATTGAAGGCTTAATTTTTTCAACAATAGCAAAATTATATTATAAGCAGATAGATGGATAGAGAAACTGTGACACACATACACAATGGAGTCTTAGTAATAAAGAAGAATGAAATTATGTAATGTGCTGGAAAATGGGTACAACTAAAAATCATCATATAAAGTGAAATAAGTCAGACTCAGAAAGACAAATACCACATGGCTTTTTTCTCATTTATGAATCCTAGATTGCACATAGATACATAAATGCATGGGAATAGAAGGGAAACTAAAGAGAGCAGCCCCAGCAGAAGGGGTGAAAGGGAGGGGGCTACCAGGAGAGAAGGAGATGAACATGGTCAAAGCACATGATATACTTGAAAGAGAGAAATTAACATACAATAAATATAGTCCTATTTATTTAAAAAAAAAGAGTGCATGTTATTTCTAATCCCCTTCGCATCTTACCCAAAATTCATGTATTGATATAACTGGTACTGGTTAAGACAGGAGAAAACGGTAAGGAAAACATATTTTTTGAACAAAAGACTGGATTTAGCATGGAAAATGTGGTCAAGTCCTTATTCTGATGTTAATTGCTCAGTTTTAAATAAACCAGGTTCAAATAAATGAGGTCAGAAAGAATCTTCTTTGGGTTCTCATATTTCTCACAAGCTTTCAGCCATTACTGCTCATTAGTTTAGTGCTTAGGCTGCAGAAAAGGATGAGGGCCTGGACTCAGCAGCTCTGCTATCTGTGAAGAAATGGGGTATGCACCAGTAGAAGAAACCAAAAAATGATGGACTGACTTTACTTATTTCAACGATTTCTCTTTCTTTCTCTCTCTGATCATTACTATCAAGGATAAACATGTTTCTAAAATAATATGACCACATCTAGAAGATCTTCTGAAATAAAGCTGAAGTCTAACATTTTTCTTATTTTTACAAGATACAAAGAATATATGAGGAAGCCAAGAGCATCTGAATTCTAACTTAACAGTGTACATAAACAGCTGCTATGGAATTATAAATAAAATCCATTATCACACACACAAGAAATAAGTTTAGAACTATACACTAACAAGTTAAACCACATTCTTCACATATTATTCTGAAAACACCATATCTATGTAACTGTACACAGTTTATTCAGAAGTCTGTGATAACAACTAATATTAGACAATATTCTGTTCCCTAAAAGCAAGTAGCCCCCACAAGGCCCAAGGACCATCATGGAAGAGAGGGAAAAAAAGACTGTAAGGGTCAGAAGTTGGGGAGAACTGAAGCAAAACAGTATCTTCTACCCTTAACAGGACTGCTGCCCTCATGAATAGTTGCTACCCAAGAGCTGCCCAAGGCCAAGCCAGTCAACATTCCAGCATGGAGAGAGAAGGAACTCATGAAGATAAACTGACAGTAGATGGCTTCTGGGGGACAGAGAGTTAGTTTTCATTCATATGTGACCCTTGGGAGATCCACCATGCTCCAGTGGAAAGCACAAATTAAACTCAGTGGGTTATTAAAAAGGGGTACATAAACTTGGGGGAGTGAGAATGTGGGTCATAGATCAAGGAGGAGTGGGAATAAATATGATCAAAATACACTGAAATTCTCATAGAATTAATAAAAGTATTATATTTTTAAAAACAAGTAATATTAATGTATCAAGACCATGGCTATCCTTGTAATTTTTTACTTGTTTGGCCTTTCTGGATCAAACAGGCATAAAGATGGAGCTTGGTGCTTTCCACACATGTAACTCAGAATAATACCACAGAAATGTTTATACATGGCTAGTGCATGGATATAGTACAACCAGGTGTGTCCACCTAGGATCTGATTTTCATTACAATTCGTAACTCCACAAGCTGAACAGGCATCAGTAATAGCATGCAGCATAAGAGAATGTCCACAGCCATAAGGAGAACACATCTCAGGGCCCTAATGTACAGGTAATTACTACTAGCTACTCTTAAAAGAAATAAACAAGCAAAATTTGTGCACATTTCTAAAGAAATATCCAAACAACTGTACTAGAATAAACAGTGCAGTTATCAAAAAAAAAAAGACTGCTCAAAAAATGACAAACCATTTAAATAAACTGACTCAACCAAGATGAAGTAATAAATACCACATGTCCTCAATCAGATGAAACAACCAAACACAGAAAAATATGAAACAATTCTCATGATACTGGCACAAAACATATAAGAAGAGTTTTTGAAACACAAGAAAACTAGGCAACAAAGATGGTGACCTTTGAGAGAAAGGAAGCAAAAATAAGGAGGGGGCCCGATGACTCACCCTACTCACTATCTTGAGAGCTGCTAGAGAAATAACATATATCCATGTCCAGGGCTGATAATGGTTTTCAAAAATAATTATTCAATTTTATTGACTGGCTTTGCTGGAAAAAGTGCCCCAATCATGAAGAAACAGATTTAAGTTACAAAATATTAAGATCATTTAAAATGGAATCTTAAAATTAACATGGGTATACACACCTATAATCCAAGCACTCAGGAGCTGAGGCAAGAAGTATGCCACAAATCTGAAGCCAGCCTGGGATACTGATACTGAGACCTTGTCTCAATCAATCAATCAATCAATCAATCAAACAAACAAACAAACAAACAAACACAAAGATAGGGGGAAAGGGGAGAGAGAGAGCCATATTGCAGTTTCTCACAACTAAACTTCAAGAAGCAAGACAGTAGCATACGGTGTGTGTACTCTTCACTCTGAATCCTTTGAGAAAATGCATTTAGTTATTTTCCTTAGTAAATACTAAGGTTAAGGGAAAACAAATATGCTGTATCATAAATATTAACAGATTTGTTTCCTCTTCCCTTTACTACTTTTTTCTAGTCATTCATACTTAACTAACACATACCATAAAGATGAATTTATTTTCTAATATTTATTAAAAACAGCACTGCTGTTTTTCCTACATACATGTCTGTGAACCACATGAATGCAGTACCCGACGAAGCCAGAAGAGGGTATCAATCCCCTGGAACTGGAGTTACAAACTTGTGAGCCACCATTTAAATTTTGGGAGTTGAACCCAGGCCCTCTTGCCATAACAGCTAGTTCTATTAACCACTGAGCTATCTCTCCAATCCCAAAGCAGAATGTAAATGGTAATAATGGGAGCTGGGCAGTGCTGAGGTAGCACTGTGACTCCAGCACTGAGAAGGCTGACACAATAGGATCTTAAATTCAAGGACAACCTAGGTTATACAGCAAGACCCTGTCTCAAAACAAAATAATTTTTTAAATGACAACAATGGGCATATCATTCTCTTTTCCTTCAAAGAGAAATATCTATGGCTTCACCCAACAATATTTCCCATAGGTTTACTATAGACATCTTTTAATAGATTATGAAAATTACCATCTATTCCTATTTTGATATTTTCCCATGATGGTGAATTTTAACTAACACTGCAATTGCATCCACTTATATGATAGTATGATATCCTATAATATGATAATGTGCTAAATGGCATTATAGATTTTCTAACATAAAAACAAGTCCTAATTCAAGGTAGAGTTGGCTAATATTTTGTTTAGGATATTTTGCAGCCATATTCATAGGTGACAATGACAGTCATGATTTTCCCTTCTTATATGACATGCTTAGAACAAGTTATATAGAGTAAGAATTTTTTTCTCAAATATCAAGTTAAAACTTTCTAGTAGAGACATCTGGAAGTAAATGGTTCAGACTTTCTAATTCAGACTATTCAAACTTTCTAATTCTGAAGCCATTTCTGGAAAATTGGGCTCCCTAGGTGTTTTGGCAATTGATCATATTATGATCATCTTAACCTCTACATATATAACTATGTTTTTCCACCCCTCATGTTTGTGTCATTGCTTTAGTTTTCCTTCATTAATCACATCTGATATCTGCTATGTGTTATATTACTCTTTTCAAAATACCAACTTTTAACTTTTACAATTTTGGTGGCTATTCTTGGTTGTTAACTTGACTACATCTAAAATTAACTAAAATCAGCCAGGCAGTGGTGGTACACTCCTTTAATCCCAACACACAGGAGGTAGAAGCAGGCGAATCTCTGTGAGTTTGGGGCCAGCCTGGTCTACAAAGCTAGTTCCAGGACAGATTCCAAAGCTACACAAAGAAACCCTGTCTCAGAAAGAAAGAAGTTATAAAAGTAACTAAAATCTAACTGGAGGGCACACCTGTGAGGGATTTTTTACTTAATTAGAAGCAAAAAAAGAAAAAAAAATAACCTACTTCTTTTTTGTTGTTATTGTTTCAGTTTTGGTTTGTTTATGGGTTTTTTGTTTTGTTTTTTCAAGACAGGGTTTTTCTACGTAACAGCCCTGGATGTCTTAGAACTCAGACACCTGCCTGCCTCTGCTTCCCAAGAGCTGGGATTAAAGTCATGTGCTGCCACCACCTCCAACAACTAGAAGATCCACCCCTAATCCAATCTTTAAGTAGGAGGACACACCTTTAATCTAGATCTTTTGAAATGGGGAAAGATACACCTTTAATCTAGACCTCTCGAGGCAGGAAGACACACCTTTAATCTGGGCTAAATCTTCTGCTGGAATCCTATATAAGGAAATGGCAAAAGATAGCTTATGCTTTTTGCCTGCTTGCTCTGGCCTTGCTAGCAAGTCTGTTCCTTCACTGGCTTTAGAGCCTACTTCTTCAGGATTCTAGTGTCTACTAACAACCAACTGAGATATCCACCTCATAGACTAAGCAACTACTGGATTCTTGGACTTTCTGTTCACAGGCAGCCATTATCAGATTAGCTGAACCAAACCTTAGAAATCATTCTAATAGATCCCCTATCTATAGAGAGATAGATTCATTCTATAGTTCTGTTACTCTAGAGAACTCTGACTAATACCACAATCCTCTATATTGTGTG